CCCGCCTGGCCGCTGTCCTGTGCCCCCTGCTCTGGGTGACCCTGCTTGGGTGGGGGGGTGGCACTGGGTGAGCTCTGAGGGCCCTTCCAACCCCGGCCAGGCTGGGATTCTGGGATTTATGGAAAAATCTGAGTTTTTCAGGGCTGAGACGAGGCCCAGGAGTCGCTGTGAGTGACTGCTCTACCAAGCAACGTTTGCGAGTACTCGCTGCTCACTATCACTATCACAAACCCAACCATGGGTGAAGCAACTCTACGTTTAGGTCAACCACATCCTGTTTCCTGGAATGTCAAAGGGACAATGAAGAGTGAAGTTTTCTTTTGTTTTTTGTTTGGGTTTTTTTTTTTTTTTACCAGTTATGCCCAGTTTCACATTTTAAAACTCATCCCCTCCTTTTCCCTTGGTTTTTATATCTGAGCTGACGTCATGAGGAATGGAACTTTTTGGTACGGTCTTTTGAGCAGGGCTGGCTGGGACAGGCCACGGGGGGATGGTTTGAAACCAAAGCAGGGCGGGTTTCGCCTGGATGGAAGGCAGAAATCCTTGGCCCTGAGGGTGGGAAAGAGCGGGAGGGGTTGCCCAGGGCGGTGGTGGAGGCCCCATCATAAGCACGCGTAATATTGAGAGACGGTCCCCGCAGGTAAAGCATCGCGACGCACGCGGACGACGTGCGAGGAATGGGTGACTTCCGCAACGCGGCCCAGCCCGCGCGCTGCTCATCCCCATGCGTGTGGTTCTGGCGACGCACGGGGTACGACGGGTGGGAGGGTTCGGTTGAGGTGCAGGGGGGGCACACACCGCATCCGTGAGCCCCTCCATTGGGTCTGCCAGCGCATGGCCAGCACCGAGTGAAGGACAGTGGTGTGGCCACCCCACGCAAGGCTCCAGGCGTGGGGACGAGATAAGCACGCGTAATATTGAGAGACGGTCCCCGCAGGTAAAGCATCGCGACGCACGCGGACGACGTGCGAGGAATGGGTGACTTCCGCAACGCGGCCCAGCCCGCGCGCTGCTCATCCCCATGCGTGTGGTTCTGGCGACGCACGGGGTACGACGGGTGGGAGGGTTCGGTTGAGGTGCAGGGGGGGCACACACCGCATCCGTGAGCCCCTCCATTGGGTCTGCCAGCGCATGGCCAGCACCGAGTGAAGGACAGTGGTGTGGCCACCCCACGCAAGGCTCCAGGCGTGGGGACGAGGGGCTGGAAAGCTGCCCGGCGGAAAAGGAGCCGGGGGTGTTGGTCGCCAGGGGGCTGGATAGGAGGCAGCAGGGTGCCCAGGTGGCCAAGGGGGCCAGCGGCATCCGGGCTTGTCTCAGGAGTGGTGTGGCCAGCAGGAGCAGGGCAGGGAGCGTGCCCCTGTGCTGGGCACTGGGGGGGCCGCCCCTCGAGTGCTGGGGTCAGGGTTGGGCCCC